TATTATAATCTGAGTTGTTGTTTATTATTCTTTGTAATATGCAGCCAGTTGCCAACTCTACAACATTTCCTCTGACCGGACCCTGCACCTTTACATTACTCGCTACTCTCTAATTTCCAGTCTCCAGGTCTATCAAGAAAATAAATTTCTGTGGTTTAAACCACTCAGTCTGTGATATTTTTTTACAGAAGCCCAAGGTAACATGCAGAAAGGCAATTTGAGATATCATACATAGGACAATGCACATATGCATTCCTTTTAACCCAATGATCCTACGTCTGTGAAGTTAATCTTTGGTGATAATTCAAGAATATGACAAAGCTATACACATGGAAATACTCATTACTTAGTTTTACATTTTTAAACCTTAATCTGTTGGAAAACGTACTTTTCTCTTAGTTTCATTCATGTTATAAGAAATAATACTCAAAAATATATTTGAAAGTAACTTCAGATAGATCCTTTCTTAAGCATAGCCATATCCTAACTCTTGAATTACAGAAAAGTGACTTCCTTCCAACACTGGTCACTAATCCCAAAAGACAAAAAGGAAATTTACATTTTATATAAGAGATCCATCAATTTTTACTTACTACACATTGTTTATTATGTTACTACTTACGCAGAGATGGTGTCCAAGGCATCTTCAAAAATGTCCTGAGGGGGAACAGAAAATACAATGAGTTTCTGAAGAATCAAGAACTCTAACGGTAAACAAGAAGGCGAGTATGTGGGTGTGTGCAGAGGCGGGGCAGTTTAGGTGGGATGCAGTGGGATCACTCAACTCTCACTAACGAAATGTCTGTCAGAGAAAGCAAGCATATGAATTTAAGTGAGGTTTAATTTTTTAAAAATAATTAAGGCTGGTAAAATACTTGGCTAGCAATCAAACTGGGGTAATTTGAATGAATGTGACTTCTTTAATGGAGTCATCTTTTACTCCTCAGTCTCATTCATCCCAATGAGAGAATAAAATAAATAACAGGATTTACCCAATCTAGTCTTCCCTTTCTCCATGGCTAGCCAAGTACGCCCCCTTTTTCACATCTAATTTCAATACCCTCTGAACTGGCCTTCCTGCTACCAGCCTTTCTCCCAGGTCAGTATGTAAATCTGTGCCACCATAGGACAGCCCTTAAGGGCAGTGGTTCTCAACCTTCCTAATGCCACGACCCTTTAATACAGTTCCTCATGTTATGGTGACCCCCAATTTCATTGTTACAAATTGAACATAATTAAAGCATAGTGATTAATCACAAAAACAATATGTAATTATATATGTGTTTTCCGATGGTCTTAGGCGACCCCTGTGAAAGGGTCATTCGACCCCCAAAGGGGTCGCGACCCACAGGTTGAGAACCGCTGCCTTAAGGAATATGCCAATGGCCTGTTCAAAAGCTACAACTGGAGAAAACCCATATCCATACCACACACATATTTATATCCACTCACAAATCCACACATGCACCCCACACTAATCCACACTGAGACTCACACACTCACAATCTCATAAACTCATAACCATACACACACACTCACTCACAAATTCAAACATACAAAAAGTTCCCTCAAAGCTGCAAAATCAAATCCAGGACCCACCACAACCTGGTCGCATCGTCAAAGCATCTTTCTCTCACATCCCTCCCACCTTCACCCAAACTCAAGGACTGCACCAGTCCCCCAACTCCCACACTTGACACCCTTCATTTAATTCTTCACACAACAGACACAGTTATTCTTTTTGTTTTCTTTCTCTTCTTTTAATAAACTCAGACCATTCCACTGGTCTATACCTCTCTAAGAACTTTCCACTGCACTGAGAATAAACCCAAACTCCTCCCCACGATCTAGGAATCACTAAATGGCCCTGCCCACCCACCTCTCCCCTTCCCTTCCTCCTCCCCCAACCCGCTGCCCCCTTCCTCACTCCACATAAGCCACAGGTCTGAGTTTCTGCTCCTTTAACAAGACAAACTTATCCCACACCTCTCCGAATTGCTCGCTCTTTTATAGAATGCTCTTCACTCAACTCTTCCCGTGACTGACCGTTCTCATCCTTCTGTTTTCAGCTCAGAAAGCCACCTCTTCAAGGAGACCGGCTCTGATAACCCTAATTAAAATGACTAAAAATAGCAGTTTACTTATAGTTTTGCATCATCTGATTTATTTCATTCATAATCTTATCATAATCTCTAAAACCTTGCTTGATTATGAGGCGGCAATCTGTCTCCATCAGGGCAGGTTCCTATTGATCATGTGTACAGAAAACTCGCCAGGGCTTGGCACAGCGCTGTTGCTCAGTAAACACATGCTGTCTAACGAATGAATGAATGGAGCACGGACTGTCAAGGCACTGATTGTATCACCTATTGAAAACTATGACATACAAATGAGGAAACAGGGTTACAGAATGTTCCCTTGTGTGACCATTAACATAGAGCAATGTTTAAACTACACTGCACTGTGTCTTGAGGCAGGACAGGAAAAGACAGTATAAACACGAAAAGAAGAAGAAACAGCAATATAAGTGGTGGCAGAACTGAGTTCAGAATTGGGGATCCCTCACCTATTAACCTACATTAATACCGTGTCTTGCAAGGGAGGGAGGCAGAGTCGAGGGCAATTCCATCTTATCCTCACTCCCTCGAAGCCACATCAGAAGCTCATCAACGAGCCCCTGGCAGAAAAATGAGCCAGTTCTGAAGTGCCATGTCCTAAGCCAAAAGTAAAAAGATGCTCCTCTGGCCTCTATAAAAGTTTCTAACTAGCCGAAACCGGTTTGGCTCGGTGGATAGAGCGTCGGCCTGCAGACTGAAAGGTCCCAGGTTCGATTCCGGTCAAGGGCATGTACCTGGGTTGCGGGCCCATCCCCAGTGGGAGATGTGCAGGAGGCAGCTGATCGATGTTTCTCTCTCATCGATGTTTCTAACTCTCTATCTCTCTCCCTTCCTCTCTGTAAAAAATCAATAAAATATATTTAAAAAAAAAAAGTTTCTAACTAGAAAAGGACTCCTTTCTCCAAGTCAAAAGTCTGAAGAGGCTCTTGATATCACAGCTTCTGCCATTTTGAATCACAGGTCAATATAATACGGGCCAGCACATGCCAGCACACACCAGTGAGGGGCTGTGCAGGAGGGAAGAGAATCTGCTCTACAGAAGCCCCATCCGGCATGAGGACCAGCTGCCTATACCAGACACCAGCTCACAATCCCTCCGGCATCACTGTTAACCCCCCTGGGCTGACCTTCACGAGTAAGAAGAGAGGTGGCGAGCAAGCTCCTGGAAGGCTTCTGTGTGTCCGTCCCCCCTCCTGGCAAAGCTCAACCCAGAGCAGGCACGGAGCAGACACGGAAATACCCAGGCTGATATTTACACTTCAACAAGAAATACCCCATTACCAACCTCAGAAAAAGAAAACCGAATATAAAGAAATCGTCTTTAATTAAGTAACCTCTATTTTTTCATATGCAGAGGGTTCTCTAAATAAAGCATACTACCCAATGTGGTACCACGACTATGGCTGGCAATACTGCAGTGGATATTTGAAAGCTTCTGAGAGTAAACCTTTAAAGTTCTTACCACACAAAGAAAAAAACACTGTAAATATGTGAGGTGATGGATGTGTTAACCCTACCATGCTAATCATTGTGCAATAATACCTATCTCAATTCACGATGTTGTACACCTGTTATATGTTAATTATCTCAATAAAGCTGGGATTTTTTTTTAATTAAAAAAATGTTAAAATCGCCCTGGCTGGAGTCGTGGCTCAGCTGGTAGGAGCATCATCCTGTACACCAAAGAGTTGAAGGTTAGATTCCCAGTCAGGGCACATACCAAGGTTGTGGGTTCCATCCCCATGCTAGAGGCAGCTGATCAACGTTTCTCTCTCACGTGGATGTTTCTCGCTCTTTCTCTCTTTTTCTATCTCTCTCTCTAAAAAAAAAAAAAGTCAATGAAAATGACCTCGGGGGTGCGGATTTTTTTAAAAAGTTAAAATCTTTTTTTTTCCCATTTAGATGAAAATAGGATACCTCCATTAACAATGCAGAAAATCCATGGAATTCTAGGACATTATTTAATAAACTGGAGATGAGGAAGGAAAAATGGGAGGGAAGGAGGAAAGTAGACACAAAAGGTAAAAAAAAATTTTCATTTTATGAAGAGGGAAGAGCAGAACTAAGATTTACTGATTGCTGATCATGTGCCAGGGACTTTACAAAAGCTATCTCATTTGCTCCTCCCAATTTATAGCAAGTAAATCCAGTCACAGGTAACTACCTGCCCAATATTGCACAACTGGTAAGCGAAGGAATTAGAACCCAACCTCAGATTTCCTTAACTCCAACGTCGTTTTTAAATGTGAATAAAACTATCCAAATCCTGGAACTGAGGCAGTGGAGGAGTGGACAGGGTGTGGGAGAGGAGAGGGCAGCACACCCTCCACGCCACACTGTAGCACTGTGGGGAACCAGCCCTCCGTGGAGTGTTTCCTTCTCTAGGAGGACGGACTTGTGTTTGACTTTGCTATTTACTGTCTGATTAGAACCCAGGCACAGTGAGGTTACATGCTAACATGCAGATTTCTGAATGGTATAAAAACCTCAAAGGTTGCGGTTATATTGCCCTATAGGACACTGCCCAGTGTTGTGTATAGCCTAGCAATCTTAATCTAACATCCTTTTTTTTTTTCAAACCTATAAATACCCAGTTCCTCAAATACCCATTGCATCAGTTTGCCGTCTTGCTCGTTTCTGCCACGATAGGCGAAATAAAATGTTGACGCGTTCATTTTATATCTTTATGAGAACCGTATTTCTAAGTTTTGAAAATTATACTTTGACAACAGACTCTCTCCCTGGTTACATGCAAATACAGTTTCCCAGGTTCTTGGGGAAAGTTATGTGGGTCCACCTTGGGGATGAAATACCAGAAATCAAAGAGACTGTCTGCTCAGGCCTCCCGTACCATATACCCAGGGACCAATGGCTTCCTTTTCCTCAAATTCTATCCCTTCCTGCTGCTGCCCCAGGGGGCTCCTTTCCTCTGTGGGATCCCAACAGGACCCCCAGGTTTAGCACTGGATCTGCAGTGGACTGCTGGTCTAGAGCCTCTCCCCAGCACTAAGTATACCCGCATATAGTCATCACACAGCATAACTAGGGTTTTCTACCTCTGGTCTCTTTGCTTCTCCAGACTCACCATCAGCTTCCCAGTATTTCTCAGTGTTGGTTTCATTTCCCCGGTGATTACCATAAACTGGTTTTCCTTAAACCTCCCAGGACTGGGCATTTCCCCAGTGATTACCATAAACTGGTTTTCCTTAAACCTCCCAGTACCGGGCAGGCACACCATGTGGACTCCAGTTGAAACATATACAGTCAGAGAAGCATCCAGCGTCTTCCCATTCAAGGAAGATAAGACAGGCAAGCTCATGTCGCTGACCAATAGGATTTGCTCATGGGAACGCTTCGGTGTTTACTTCTTCCCTTGAAGGCAGCTGTCTTTGCCTCGCCCCTTCCCAACAAATGCTGAACTGACCACCCCTGGCTCCTGATCACACACTGCCCCAAAATGGTACCTGACTTTTTCCGGAGTTAGTCTTGACTTCCTGGCTAGAGTCAAGGGATATCACACCCCGTTGGAATCCACTTTATAACCCAGCACAACACTTTACACCTCACAGATTCTTAGCAAGTAACTGTTAGCCGACTGGCCGGCTGAGCAGCCTTGTCCTGAGGAGCCTTGTCCTCACCTTGAGCAGTTTCATTTTGCAGGTTAGCCAATGGCTTCACCCTGTGAGGTGAAAGCGTCCCTGGAGGACCTTCGGGTGCAAGGCTGGCCCTCCAGGGCCTGCTCCCTGCTGAGGGGAGCCCTGGCCATGGAAATGGACGTAGAAGTGAGGACAGGGGATGAGGGTGCTGTATCAACTATTAAAGCTTTTCTGAGCAATTTTCATGTTGATTGGTTAACTGGGTTATATTCTGAGTCTAAAAATGCATGAACGTGTGTTTCAATAACAGCAGGTTCTTAATAAATGTTTAATAAACTAAGAATCTTAAATAATGAAGATACTAATGATAGAAATGTTTACATTATTTTTATCCTGAAGGGGAAGAGGCAAAGAATAAAGATGACATCACGGGACGTAGAGTACAGCATAGGAAATAAAGTCAATAATATTGTAGTAACTATGTATGGGGACGGGGGGGCGGGTAGTAGAAATTCGGGGAGAACACTTTGTAAAGTATATGATTGTCTAAACCCTATGATTTACACCAGGAACTCATCAAAAATAATATTGAATGTAAACTGTAATAAAAAATTTAAAAATAAATGAAAGTCACAAAAATGAATAAAGATGACAAATACGCTAGTACCAGTAATAATTTAGATAGTCTGTATTAATTTCCAAAGAGACCAAATAGATTTACAAACTCTTCAGGAATCCCCATGTGAATTTTAATGCACTTTGTGGCATGAAAAGGAATATATGGTAAATATTACTTCAAAGGGAAAGAGGAAGTAGGAAGGAACATAATAAATGCTCCTTCAAAGGGTCCCACAAATCCAAAAAGTTGACTCACTTCTCTAGAGCCTCTTCCTGCCTCCCCTTACCTCTTCCTCCTCCTCCTCCTCCTCTTCTCCCTCTCTCTCATGGATGACTTGATGAGGTCTGTGAGCTGACGTTACCAAGTTCTCATGTAACTGTTCCTTAGAGAGGGATTGCACAGTGTGATAGGACTCTGTAGACCCTTTCCTCCGCAGGGAGAACCAGCCCCACATGGTCCCAGACCCTCCTCGCTGGAGCTTCCACCCAAGATTCCCTTCTATTGACCAATGATGCTATATGTTTGGTTCCGTGGGCTCAAAGAACCCTAGAGCTGCTGAGAACTCTGACACGTCACAGGTTCTACCTACACCTGGCTCCGGAGCACATCTGGACCGCTCCCAGGAACATGAGGCATGAAAAGAGTGCCCAGCTTCCTCCAGACTAGGGCAGGGATTAAGAGCCATGAATACTGAGGTCCCAAGACTGCACACACTCCTCTGCATGGCCTTCATGCCTGGTGAATCAAAACATTCAACGTGGAAAACCAGGATGACATCAATTGTTACACTTCAGTAATACCACAGTGACACACCAGGAAGGTTCCTCAAATATTGGCTGTAAATCTTTTCATACATAAAGGAGAGGGCACACTGCTAGTTAAAGGAATCATATGAAAAACCCATACAACTTAAGGGGCATCATTCCCCACTCTAACATCGATAAAGTATTGATTTTTCTAAATCAGGATGAATTTAAAATACGTCTTTATTATATGTCCATGAAGTGACTTTTAGAAGTTTGGGAAAAGACTTTTTAAAAAAAAGATGTATTTGCCCTGAGCTGATCTGTCAGCAATGATTTTTCATTCTGCTCATATCTGCCACCCATTTCTCTGCCATCTTACCTATTTGTAAAAAAGCAGCCATGGCCTTCATTTAAACTCCCAACTGCCTCCTGGGGGCTCCACAGTTGCATTTTCTATGTAATGCTACTTGCTTTTTTAACTTCAGCCTGTGTGATGAGCGTCAATGCCCTGAGTCTCCCTGGTGGACAAATGTAAAACTCAGCCTCAGCATCCTCGTTACTGGGTCTGCAGAGTGCAAACACCACTCATTCCTCCCCTCAAAGGATTACCAGCAACGCACGTTCCCTGTGAAACCTTTACTGACCCGCAGAGCTCTTACTCAAAGGGAAGAAAAGCAACTGGGGTCCATACAGTAGACACTATTCACACTCCAAGTCCCCACATGGCCCTTGCAGGGAACAAAATGTGACTTTCCCAGGGCTTAAAGCGATCAGGCTATGGGCACAAATTCTCCACTATCGCAGACAGGAAAAAAGAACATGACACAGAGTTCATCTTCTGAACCTGCCCAGATTTGTAAAATCTGATTTTTTTTATACACTTAGTAAAAAACTGGAGGTTTTCAGAGATTATTCCAATGTAGAGCTTTTTAATTTTTAATACTACACACCATAAAATCAGCTGCCAGAAGAAAAAAAATTATGCCTTAGAAAATATTATTTTAAACAATCATCACTTGAGATTGAAAATAATTTGACATATTCTCCAAGTATAACTTTAATATAGTTCTCTAGTTGCTCTCATCCAGGGGAGTGCTCTAATATTACCCCATAAATTATGTCTTTTTTCTCAAAGCTTCATATTTCCTATCAGAACTCATAAGTGAAAATTAAGCATACAAAAGAACAGTCATTTCACTGGAGAGGATTACTTTGAGCACATAAATTGCGCACATTTTTACTCAGCAACTATTACATGTTGGTGAGATATGTTTTATTCAATGATTCACTCAAACATTGCAGTAGTAATGTAGTACATTTCCAACATAGGACAGTGGGAAACATATATTTCAGCCTGAAAGTTTTATTTAGACCTGTCTGGGTCTGAATCTTAGATCTACCCCTGACCCTGGGCAGGTCTTACCCTTTCCATCCTCCACTTCCTGATGTGGAGAATGGGAATTTCAACAGCCTCCCTGATTTTTGTAAGAATGCTAATGAGATCATGCATAGCAGGTCTGACTCAAAACAGGCCCAATAAATACCATTCCAGAGGGTCCTAAATTCTCAGATATGGGGTGAATCCGTGGACTCATGGAGCCAGATCCCCCACTGTACTTCCTCAACAACTCTTTTTCATACCAAAGATTCTACACCTCCTTTTGCAAGAGAGAAAAGAGGCCAAATGTGGGACTATTTATAGCAAATAGGTACTCAAAAATGTTAACTACCTTTACTTCTCCAATCTTAAAATGCCTTCCCCTCTTATTCTTTAATGCCCAGACCCTTCTTACTCAGTGGGTCACCCAGCATGATAAACATAAGTTATGGGCACAGAGCCCAGGTCCTCAGCTCAATGGGGAGCAGAGTGACCTCGGCCAACACAATGTGAGCTTGGCCAACACACCCAATGAATGGCTAGGGGCTCCAGCCTCCTTCTGAGTGAAGCAGACAGGTTGGCATAGATGCCATCCCTTCCTCAAAATCCTAAATTTAACAGAAATCCCCCCCAATGAGGAAGCTGTTTGTCCATCGCCCTCAGAAAAGCCTAGCGTTCAGAGGGACTGCATCTAAATGGACTGCTGAACCTTTCAGATTTTGAGCCATATCAGTGGTACCAACTTGATCCTAGATAGTTAGTGTGTTCACAAAATGAGTCTTTGGCATCTGCAACAGCTTTTAGCCAAGCACAGAGGAACCATGAGAATGAAAAAGGAATCACCAGATGTCACTCTCACAAAAAACAATAACGAAATTAGACAGCTTGGTTTTCGTTTTCACTGACACATAGATCCATGGGTTGAGAAAAATGAAAGAGATAACTTTATGAAGGAGGAAACACTTTCCCTTCCTACATTTTGTTATAAATATGGAGTTGAGTCTGGCTTAAGGCAAGGGGTAAGTCCTGAGGTCAATACTTAAAAGGAAAACATATAGTCAAACTTAACATTGAACAAATACTTTAAATTGTCATCCTAACTGTCATTGTGAATGGTGTTGAATATAACCTCATAGAGGAATGGCTTTCACATCTGTTTCTCACTCTATTCTCAAAATATCCAATTGGGTTAGGGAAGAAAATTCAATGTTTTATCTATTTGTGCAAAGGTAGGCAAACATAAAATGTGTACAGTGAAATACGGTGTGTAATAAAGGGCACATATGTAAACAAGATTTTTACAATTGTATAATATTGAATTTATTTAACATAAATAAGCAAATTATCTTACTCCCCTGTACATATGCCTCTGCTACTGGTTTTATGGCTGTGAAATGAACCTTGGCAATCACTTAATATGTCAAGCACTTCTGTCCTCTAGGGCCCACCCCACCCAATGGGTACTTCACATGGGGAGTATTGAGGGCATGCCATTTCTTCAGGAGAATAATTTCACACAAAACAAACTGCAAAACAGAACCAAGAGACTTTTTTAAAACTGTGTAATTTTGAAATCATCACTAGTAAAGATGTTTTAAAATTAAAATGAACAGAGCTTATAGCTTCTTCCTCTGAATAAATACCATAATTCCATTTATGAATACCCAGGCACTATGTTGGACCCTTAGATGCTTATTTCTAATTCACAAAAAATCAGGAAAAAAGTGAGCATTTCACCTTTACTATTACTACTATCACTGTGTCCTGACAATAATAATAACAGGTAACACAATTGAGTGCCAAAAACTGCTC